TACATGCTTAGTCCTAAATTAATTTACATCACATGTAATAAATAATTCAGAATTATGTAATGAACAAGCACATGACATAAAAACGAAATTCAACATCCTCTAACATGTTTATCTTATATATCACATAAAAAGAATTCATGCCAGAATATTATTATTAATTAACATCTCATGAATTAATAACAATTAAAATAACAGTAGAATCCAATAACCTATTATAGATTACCATCGTATTTAATACAAAATTTTAAATGTAAGTTACGAACTATCTCAATAGTTTAACTTATATGCATATGTATTTTATTCACAATAAAATAATATCAATCCATATGCATTCAAACAATTTGACTATATCACAAGACACATGTATTATGGTTTGAACGCTTCAAATATAATCTTAAAATATTTCGTAAATAAATTTTAGACACAATAAACCACGGCTCTGAGGGCAAAGTACTTATGTTGGATGATTGTTATTACGTTCCTAAATTTGTTTCGAACATAATCTCAGCTTCTATGTTAGACAAATGTGGTTTTCGCATTATTATAGGCAATGATAGTTGCTCTATTAATTATGGTGATAATTTATATGTGAATGATTATCTCCAACAGTAACAACAACAACTATTACTACTATTACGCCTCAATCCCAAGTAAGTTGAGATCGGCTATAAGAATTCTCATTGACCAATTTAAGCTCATCTAGAACCAATATTATACAAAAATAAAATATAAATGAAAAGTTGTGTGAACGCAGGATGCCATGAAAAGTATTGAAAGTACAAGAAGTTCTCTATATTTTCTAGCAGTAAAACTAACACAGAAAAGGTTGAAGCTAATCCTAAATATTTTAAATATATAAATCCTCGAGCAATTCTTGCAACAATCAAAAATAAAATAAAAGTGCAGACTTTTATGCCGCTACAAGAAAACTTGGCTGATCACACGCTTCTGCTGTTTCTCTAGTTGCATGCTCCCTTTTGAATTCCCTGCACAGTTTTCTTTAGATTTGAACTCTTATCTTCATAAGGATCAGTCCAGGCCACCTCGATCATAAGCTTAACATTTTAATTCTAAGTTAATACATACGACTGATGGAGGCACTACAACTACAAGATCAACCCTCACGGCCTCACACGCCATTCATCACATAGGATGCTCCATTACCCTCTTGTTCTTTCTCTTCCATGTTCTTACAAAGATCCAATCCCTTTGTTTCTGGCAGAAAAATGACCAAAGATCCTGCAATTGATGTCATAATTCCAAGCACCAAATATGGTAAAATCTTGCTTCTATCTCCTCCTGCATCAACCAAAACTGGACTTACCACGCCCCCGAGCACCACAGCCTGCCACACAATTGACACAGTAGCATTCCTTATGCTAGTTGGGAACAACTCTGATGTGTATATCAGAAACAAGTCAAATGCAGTGCAAGCACTAAAGAAGGAAATTAACTCCAATACTAGCTGTAACACTTTCCATTTGTCCACTATCATACATAACATGCCACAAACACCAGATAAAATACTTAGTCCAACTAGTGTGCTTCTTCTCTTGCATTTCTCTACCAAGAAAAAGACTATCAAGAATGCTGGTAACTCTAGCATCGCGTTTAGCCCGGTACTCAGGTACAGATTTAAGCTAAAGTTGCCAAGTCCTAGCGGCATGCCATAGTACATCAATCCAATACCAAAACCAGTTGTTAGAGCTAGCAATAGCTGTCCAAGTATCCATCTTTTCTTCAACAAAATCTTGATCAATGGTTGATTAAAGCCATTGTCAATCTTCACTTTGTGATCATTTAAGCTTAGGTTCTTGAAATGAGGTGCTACAAATGTTGTGAGGACAGCAAAAGCCTCTCTATTTTTCCCTTTTGAAAGTAGCCATTTTGGTGACTCGTAAACACAAAACTGTAGTAACATGCAATAAATTATTGTTGGAAGAGAAGTCCAAAGATAAAGTACCCTCCATGAGTAATTCCTACTAAAATAAGCCAAACCTGGTAAAGATACAAATCCAAGTGTAGACATAAGGAATCCAACAGTTCCAACTTGGCCTTGATATTGTTTAGCAACACTCTCAGAAGACAAAACTAGAACAGACGATCCAATCGCTGCACGGCCATAACCACTTAGAAATCTCAAGGCTGAGTACATCCAAATGTTGTTAGAGAAAGCAATGAAGATTGAAGCCATAGACATGATCAAACACCCGAAAAATAGCATAGTCTTTCGACCAATTGTGTCCCCGAGAAGGCCAAGAACTAGGCCACCAAGCAAGCAGCCCATGAAAAAAGATGAAGCAGGAAGGCCTTGAAGTATAGGATTATCAGAACAATGAAGTGACCATTCAGATACAATGGATGTGTAAATAGGCTTATCCCAATTCCATTCATTAGTAGAAAGTTGACATATATTGGACATGGAATTGCAGTTTGTGTTATTAAGTTGTGTGCAATGCCATGTTGGGATAGCATCAGTAAAGATAGTGATAAATGTTTGTTGAGCCTCAAAGAAACAAGCAAGTGAAACAAGAATGACTTGCAAGATTTGTGGCCATTCAATTCCACAACTTCCAAAAAATGGCTCTATTATTTCTTCAGGAGAAGAAATATCATTTAGCTTTGGAGGAGAATGTGAGAGTAAAGGAGTTGAATCTGCCATTAGAATTTGGAATTGGATATGACCTCTTCCTCCTAGTTATATCCATATATGGACTAACATACTGTTCTGCATAATGTAATATTAACCTTACAAGTGATATGATTATGTAAATACCTTTTATGCCCATGACGGAGGGCTGACTAGGGTGGGTCACTTCTAGGCTGACAAGCTTTTGAAGAAGGGGTGCACATGTCACCTTAGGCGAATCCCACATCGATTGGGAAAGGAAAGTGAAGTGCTTTATAAGGCATGGCACAAGCTCATGGTACACGCGTTTTTGAGTCTCGAGGTTGCGTAGCCCGAAAGACAAATCCGTGTATGCCTAGACCCAACGCGGACAATAGGTGCCATGGGCTTGGGTGGTAACATTGCCGTGTTCCAGGATTTGTGACTTTGATTAATTATTAATTGGTTCATGCTTCTCATGATCATTAACAAATAGGTTTCTTCCAGCTGAAGATAAAATGGTCTAAGATTTTTGGTGATTAAATTTGCTTTTGGTAGGAATGAACAAGTAAAAGATTAGTGTTGGCTTTCTGACATTTCTGAATCTCAAATGTGAAGAGTTGATTATTTCTTTGCATGGGGACCCTCTTAGCTCTTAAACAAATCACCCACGTTTGCCACTAGTACATTAAAATTAATTAAGTACTTGAAATCATGCTTCACAAACCAGACTTTCACTAATTTATTCTTGGAATGGGACTTTAAATATTCATAGAAGGTATTGTCATTGAGAGATGAAGTCAACTAAAAGATAGATGATCTTAGGTTGTGGAAGAAAGTTGACATATATATGATATATAAAATTATTGATATTTAGACGAATCAATCTGCAATAAAAATACATTATGATATTCATATTTGATACTCCAGTAGACGCAATAAACAAAACTCTTTGATAGTGAAGAATAATGAAGGGGGATTGATATAAGCATGTTAAAAATCCAGATTGGGAGATTAATTAGTAGTACTATATGGCCAACCCAGGATTTGAAGGTAAAGGGGACACATGAGTCTATCAGACTTTTGATTTTAAGTGTTTCAAGCAAAATGTATAACCCTTTTTAACATCTAAAAATTTTTCCGAGGTTAACAGGGTCCGATGATCCCAAAACTCAAAACATAGGTCCGTTAATGGTAGCCCGGTCAGTAAGCTCCCGCTATGCACGAGGTTCAGGGAAGGACCGGATCACAAGATCTATCATACACAGCCTTACCTGTATTTTTGCAAGAGCCTGCTTCTACGGCCCTAACCTGTGACCTCCTGGTCACACAGGATCAAACTCCCCTTCATGTAATATCAACGTGGGATACTTAAAAATTCTTGCCTAATCCAAAATAAGGTACCCAATTTTAAAGTCACTGTAAAGTTAATAATTTTGGAAATGAAACTTATTAATATAGAAATTCTTTTGTCTGCTAATTTTAGCACACACGTCTGGGTGGTGTAGTTGGTTATCACGCTAGTCTCACACACTAGAGGTCCCCGGTTCGAACCCGGGCTCAGACACTTTTTCTGTTTTTATGTTTTCGTTTGCTAAATCATCGATATTCAGATTGTTTTGTTTATTTGTCTTGTTTCCTTAAAAAAAAAAAAAAAACTTTGTATAAATTTATCGATATTTGAAAAAACAAAAAATGAGAGCATTAACTAATAGTATAAGTAACATTTTTTCATCAACTAAATCTAGAAGAAAAAATTAATTCATAAATTTTTTATCTTTAAGTAATGACAAGTCAAGAAAACGAATTTAACCTTCCTGAACATAGTCGTAGTTTAGTAATTGCAACTTTATCGTCTACCCAAGTGGTGCAAAATCATATATCTTGAAGGGTCTCCACTTTGTCTTGCTTCGATTTTCCTCCATTTTCCAATTTCAGTTCTTATCATAAATAAAATAAAAAAAGAAAAAAGAAAATAACAAAAAAAAAAAACTAAATTATGTTGATCTTTTTAAAAAGATATTTGTTTTAAATTTCCAATTTTTGAAGTTATAAAATGGTGATATCTTAACAGAAAAAACTCGGTAAAATCTATGGTGACACATAAATGACTCATCAAATCCAGTAGAGATAAAAATTTAGGTAAATTTTGTCTATCCGTCTAAACTTTCGTGAATAAGGTACCTATTTAAAATGTAAATAGCTAAGGCGTACACAAATAAATCGTGAGTATTACCATTATATAAGAAAGATAATAAATAAAGGGAATGACTAGCCGAAGGAAAATGTGATAGCCCTAATACCGTATGAGCCCAATTTAATATGGTACAAGCCCATAAAGTACAACCTATACTGCACAAAAAAAATTCCTTTATAAGAAAAAAAACAAGATGACCCTTTGGAAGGTCTCATGATTTCACAATTATAGGACTATTGCAGAAGATGTATCCCAAGTTTGAATTTGGTCTCTAGCCTCTCAAAATATTGTCTTTTCATAAACCCCATTATCTTAAACCCTAGCTCACTTTTTCTGCCACAGGAAATTTCCACCCAATTTCTCTGGTGAAAAATGATTCACAACATTCTTGGAACATTGTTTTCAGCTATAGAACAGTCAATTTCACTCAGGTATTGTATCCTTTCTGTTTTTATGTATTATATTACTCCTAGTTTGGTTGCTGAGACCTCTCTATCCTCACAAGTTAGGGTAAGGTCTGCCTACACACTATCTTCCCCGGATCCCACTGTGGGATAATACTTGGGTATGTTGTTGTTGTTGTTGTTGGTTGCTGAGAAACTGAGAGAATGCAAGAAAAGAACATTGAAGTCTTTGTTGTTAGTTGTCGGTCATAAAGAGATTCAAGAATGGGCAATTTGAAGTTGGTGTAAGGATAAAGTTTTGATTTTTATGAATATTTGTTGTAGTTTGAGAAGTATATTTTGTATTTTTATGTGTACTGCTCCTAGTTTGTTGCTGAGTAACTGAGAGAAAGCAAGAGAGAAGCATTAAAATGGGCAATTTGAAGTTGGTTTGTAGTAGAGGTGGCAAAATGGTTAAAAGAAAACAGTTATCCACCGATATTATCCATTTAAAAATGGGTTGGATAATGATTTTTTTTTAAAAACGGGTCGAATATGGATAAAAACCATATAATTCACTTAAAAAATGATTAACCAAATGGATAACCAATGGATAACTAATGTGTTTAACTTTTACATTTGTAAAGCCTCAAATTGGGGGTTCCTCAAGTTTGGGAGACTAGGAATTCTCCCATAAGTAATCATATTCAAGAAGCCATATCCATATTATCCGCCGGATAACCCGTTTTTTTAATTCGCTTCAAATATGGGTCGGGTCGGATAATTTATCCGTTTTCGATCCGCTCATATCCAACCTGACCCGCCCGTTTGCCACCCCTAGTTTGTAGCAAAAGGATTTGACTTTTTAGTTCTTATTGATGTTTTTCCAGTTTTAGACGTATATTTTGTATTTTTATGTGTGCTAGTCCTAGTTTGTTGCTGAGAAATTGAGAGAAAGCAAGAAGAGAAGCATTGGAATAGGTAAATTCAAGTTGGTTTTAGGGAAAAAATTGACTTTTTAGTATTTATGGATGTTGTTGTAGTTTGAGCAGTATAGTTTCGAAATGGGCAATCTTGTTTTGGTGTCGTTATTTTTTTCTGTAAATCTTGACTTTGAAATTTGTAATTGATTTTGCTTTCAGGGGTAATATGTTGCTTCTCGATTGGCTGTGTTCGATGGAGCTAGTGGGGTTGGGGCTAGTAAGAGGGAGGAAGCTTTGACATGTAGATGTACGTCTTTTGTCTTCTGTTCTAAAAGCATTTTGAAAGAATTTCGTTAAGACTTGAGAATGTTTTGTTCTTTATCTATAAGCTTTGTGCAGTCATAGAGATATAGAATGCCGGGATTATAAGATAGATTAAAATGCCGGGATTATAAAAATCATTTGGGAACACTTGAAGCACGTTTAACTTCTTTTACTCTCTATATTGTTTTTGTAACATGCTAAGTGTTAAATTTTGAAATTCTGCTTAGGGAAAGAGAATTTCTATTTTTTGGTATGTTTGGAAAAGATAAATTTTATGGTGTAGAGAGCAAGATAGATTAAAATGAAACATTGACTTCCACTTAGAGTGCTACTAGGCAAACAATTAGCATGGCCAACTCAGATAGCACACACTTGGCTGGATTAGAATTGTTTTGAAAGTTAATACGCTTATATAGTACTAGTAACTTTTATGTTAGAGCTTTGATGTGCATTTCTTGTGACGAACTGAACATATGCTGTATATAAGACAATACATCAAACACATTGCATAGCTAATGTGCAATTTTATATTCAAATTTCATTCAATGTGAAGGTGGATACCTCAATCGTATGTTCAGTTCTCAGGAAAAAGGATATCTTATGTTCAGTTCAGATTCCAATGTATGAACTTAACAGAAAAACTAGTCTAATTGTGTAAAAAACATCCTAGGCAATGTATGCTTTAGTGAGGAAAAGTACAAACATGTACAGAAACTAGATAACGTCAACACTTAGGGGTATCTTTATTAGTCTTAGGGGTATTTCATGGTCTATGCCATACAGGCTTAAAGATGTCCTTTGTAGCTGGGAAGAAGCTGGAGCTGAAGCAACTAGTAGAGATAGATGGAGGATTGTCCCGGCTTGTATATGGTGGACAGTTTGGAGGGAAAGGAACAATAGATGTTTTGAAGATAGAAGCAATCCAGTGCAGAAGATTAAACTCAATTGTATTCTTTTTTGTTTTTGGTGCAAACAGATTTACATAGAAGATACATTGACAATCATAGACATACTAGGATCTTGCTAGGTCTCGAATTAGAAAGTCTACTAATCCTCTCCATGTAAATCTGGTTTTCAGTGCAACCCATGTACTGATGTTTTTAATATATACAATAGTTACCAATTCAAAACAAAAAAAAAGATAACGTCAACACTTAGCTGAGCTTTCTGGATTTGACTTCGTTTCCATACTTTTTGTGCTTTATTCTATTTATTTGTAATTAGTTATTTTCACATACGATAATACTAATTGAACTACATCTTGCAGTTGGCAATCTAGCATTCTCTTTTGAAGAAGATTTTAAATCATTGTGATAAAATGGCCGGGGGGAGTCAATCACGCCAAAATGAAAAACCTTCAGTCAATTACAGGCGTAATCTACTTGAGGGGGCACTATTTGAGCTTGCTGATTTTGACCGAGAAAGTCATGCTCCTGTTTCATCTGAAAATAAGGAGAACCCTAAAAGTTCTGAGTCTGGGTCTTCTGAGATAATGAGCACAAGTGATCTCATATCAGCAATTGGAACTATATGGAATTCTACAGCCCGTCCTCTTACACGAATCGTATCCAAATCAAGCTCTAGATGCTATAGCGCTGATCACCGTGAAAACAACATATCTGGTTGCTCCGCCGCAGATGAAATTTCTAGTGCTTATTTTTCAACTTATGATCACTCAATCCCTGTCAATGTGGATAGTGATACAGATTCTTCACCGCCGGCGCTTGCAAATGTGGAATGTCTGACAGTAAACCAGAAAGTCTCATTCTTTGGTCCTCTTTTAGGAAATTCTCCTCTGTGGAATCTACTCCGTGGTGGATCTACCATGCATCCAGAAACTTGGAAAGCAAAAAATCTTGCTGATGATTTACATACTATGTATGATTGGATGCATGAAATATCCTTACTGAAACTTAAGCACCACTTAAATAGTGCTAATACTGGAATCCATGAAAGCAGAAAATGTGCCGACGAAGACACGACAAAGAGTCCTTCAAGTTACAGCACCGTTGCAGATATAGTAAATGCTGATTGCCAGACTGACATGGAAAAAACGGCTGGTTCATTGTTAGGTCATATTGTAAAAGCTCACGAGATCGACAGGGTATCAACCGGTATTTCATGTCTAAGGCACTATAATGAGGTTTCACCTGACAAAAAATCAAACACGCTAGAGACTCTATGTTCTAAAAATAATTCAGTTGTCCATGAGTACTCTCTTCCTCCAAATTGTCCTGCTAGTGTCCTCAACAAAATTTATGCTGAGGATCACACAAATGATTCTACAACTAATGAAAAAGTTGAACTGGAGGATGAGCTGAATTCTGAAGTACAGATCTCCATGGCAAAGGACAAACCTCGTTATACACTTGCAAAACAAGAGCATGCTTTTGCAGGAGCTATGGCCGGAATATTTGTCAGCCTTTGTCTTCATCCAGTTGACACAATTAAGACTGTTGTTCAGTCATGTCGTGGTGATCAGAAACCTCTTTATTATATAGGCAGATCATTTATTTCTGAAAGAGGTATATTTAGTTGAATCTGCACTTCACTTTTCAATATGATACTTCCTTACATGCAAAGAGATGCTGCTCTTTCTTGGAGCCTATCTTTAGACTTGAAATTGTTGTCTACTTGTTTCAGGAGTAACTGCACTTTATCGAGGAATTTCTACCAATCTTGCTTCGTCTGCACCAATATCTGGACTTTACACCTTTACATACGAATCAGTGAAAGGGGCCCTGATTCCTCTTTTTCCCAAGGTGAATGCTTATCCTTATTTTTATTTTCCTTTTTATGTTAANTAGTTGTATTTTCAGTTTTTCCATTCGTATGCTTTTTCTTACAAGGAAATTGGTGCATTCCTAAATTTTACATGTTTTCTGTAACACAGGAATATCAATCTTTTGCACACTGCTTCGCAGGGGGTTGCGCAAGCATTGCCACTTCATTTATATTCACTCCAAGTGAGCGTATAAAGCAGCAGATGCAAGTTGGTTCACACTATAAGAACTGCTGGTAGAGTTATGCTCCTGAAATGCGTTAGTCATCCCATTATCTGGTTCCACCAGCTTTTGTATCTATCTGATTCTTTTTACCACAGTTTATTCATGATATGAGAACTGCTCGTAGCCTTGAATGCTTCTTGTCCTTGTTTAAGTATATATCTGTTGCCTAAGTATATCATGCTCTGACTGCGTCTGCCTTTTCTTTTGTGTGTGTGTGTGTGTGTTGGTTTGGGGGGAGGGGATCATATTCATATACGCCCCGAAGGTTTGTCCTGGTTAGAGTTAAAGAAAATCTTTGAAATATGCTACTACATGTTAAATTACAGTTGGTCCTTGGTATTGTGAAATCTGTTTTCTCATCAGGAGAAAAGGTGTAGTCTAGCGAATATTTGATTATCATAATGGGATTAAGGGTATCGATGTTAAATACTTAATCTAAGCAGCACTAGTATTTCCTACTAACAGCGTCTTGCTTCTCATTTTTGCCTCCGCAGGAATGCCTTAGTTGAGATTATAAGAAGTGGTGGTTTGCCTTCACTATATGCTGGATGGAGAGCTGTACTATGCAGGAATATTCCACACTCAATCATCAAGGTAAATTTTTTACTAAAAAAATCTTTCTCTGTGCCGTTTTTGGAGAAAATTGGGGAGCAGGAAGTTGAGTGCTCTTTTATTCTATAAGTTATGTTCTCTTAAAAGTACTATTTTGACTGGCAGTTCTATACATATGAAAGATTGAAGGAGTTGAGGTTTTCATCTGTTCAACTGCGCAACCAAAATGACACACTAATGACGGTTAGTTTTCTTATTAATGAGTATTCATTTGTCCACCTCCATCTTTGGCCATTATTAAGCTCATGATATATATTTTCTGGCACTTGCATTTTCACTTCGACTCTAGGCTTTAAAGAATGATGGTCGAGGTTAACATTTTTATCTTTGAAATTTGTAGTTGAGGCAATGGGACCTTAGTGGTTTCATTGACTGGTAAAAAAACAAAAAGAGTTTTCTCAGTTCTATACTCCTCTTTCCAGCTCGTATGTGGCGGATTAGCTGGATCTACTGCTGCACTATTCACAACTCCTTTTGATGTCGTCAAGACAAGATTACAGACACAGGTTATTCATTCTGTCTTTCCTTTCTTACTCGCTCAGGTTGTGAGTCTTGCACAGATATCAATATGTCATATAGTTGCTGCTGGAAACCGGGATCAGTTTAAGCCTTCTGAAAGCATTCAGTTGCTCTATTTCTTGTCCCTTTGTACTATCTATCTGATTGCTAGTTTGAACAACTGATTCAAGACTGGTATCAGTTTAAGCCTTTGGAAATCATTCAGTTGCTGTATTTCTCATCTTCCCCTTTACACTATATGAGCAGCTGATTTATAAAGCTCCTAAGAAAGTCTCGCTTATGCAGATTCCTGGATCTAGGATTCAGTTGGGTGTATTAGACACACTTAAAGAAATAGGAACGCGTGAAGGTTTGAAGGGTCTTTACAGGTAATGGTTGAATATCATATTGAAGTAATTTAATTGAATATTACCATCTGATTATAATCTTGTCAATCTTTCGTCAAACATTTGGCACCCCCAACCCACCCCCGAATATTTCTTTAAAGTAAAGACAATGAGAATCTGATGCAGGACTCACAGGACACACAGAATTAGTTATTAGAACTAGGAAAGGAATGCTCGTGTACTGACATGACTTATCCCTCTAGTTTTGAGGCCCATAATTCCTCTCTGCGTTCACATCGCTTGTCGCTGAAAAATTTCTTACTCGACATCATAGTTTGGTTAAAGACAAATTGCTATTATCAACAGTGTTGGAAACATTTTACTTGGATAGAATCAACTAATTTCCATCTTGCTTTCACCATAGGTACCTTTTCTACGTCAAACTGAAACCAGCAACTTAACTTAAAAGCATACTTCAATATACATTTGAAGCTAATACTGCTCATGAATTACGAAATACAAAGGATATAATTGTGCCATTTCTATAGCAAATTATTCTACCAAGCCTAACTTTGTTGGACGTAGAAGTATAACAACAACAACAAACCCAGTGAAATCCCACAAGCGGGGCCTGAGGAGGGTAATGTGTACGCAGACCTTACCCCTACCTTATGATAGAGGTTATTTGCGATAGACCCTCGGCTCATGAACAGTGAAAATGAAGCAATAAACAGACTATAGCAACAATAAGGTAATAGGACAACGGAAACAAATAACAACAAATGGACGTAGAAGAAGTAATAACCTAATTGTCTCTACTATGTCTCGAATTCTTCTCAATGAATAACATACATTGTTCGAAAGGCGTAGTGCAATAACAACATACCCAGTAATATCCTACACCGTGGGGTCTGGGGAGGGCCCTACCTTGTGAGGAAAAAGAGGTTGTTTCCAATAGACCCTCGGCTTAGGAAAGCATAAGCACCACATTAATGAAAATATAGCCAAGAAGGGACAGTACCAAGAAGCCATATAAAAGTAGAATAAAAACAATCAGATAGTAAGGTGATCAACATTGAAAAAAGCAAGTTAGTCATAAAAACCTACTACCAACAGAAAGCGAGCGAGACTGCTTGTAAGGCATAGTGCATGTCCTCAATATGTAGTTAGCCATTTTATTTGTTTTAGTAGTGATGAATCTTGATTTATGGCAGGGGCTTGAGTCCTAGATTAGTCATGTATATGACACAGGGAGCACTTTTCTTTGCATCTTATGAATCTTTCAAGAAATTATTTTCTTTGGAGATCCCTCAGCCTAAAGCCGAAAGAGTTGCATACGAGCAAAGTTTGGAAGATGATTCTGCATCATTACCGTCACCAAACTAACGCAAGAAAAGATCAGTTCGAGGTGGTGTATCTTTCAGCAATGTTCCATATGAGAAAACATATAACGTCAAGATTAGCTTGTATATTTTCTCTCTGAGCTCGAGGTCTAAATAGAGGATGAAGGAATTTGAAGTGTTAACCATCGACTGGTTCTCTTAACGCTTCATAGAAACGGGCTAGTTGATCATCCACTGAGTTTCGAAGCATGTGTCAGCTAGCCCTCGGGGATTTCTTGATTATCGGAAAGAACATGTGAAGCATTTTTGTAAAGTTGTAGAAAATGATAGGGGAAATTGAGAGGATATAGGGATGCCTAATTTTGTATGATGTAATTATGATATAACACTAATATAGGCGAACCCAACTGGTCTGGGATTGAGGCATAGTTGATTAATTAATTGATTGTAAGAATAAAATTTTTGTTTTCCGGTGAGTTTGCAACAAAGTAATTTTTTTCTGTTGTAGCTGTTGATTTGCATAAACATGGATGAAAATACAATTACAGAAAACACTTCCAGCAAACACAACGGAATTATTATAGGCTCAAGGTAACATGGAGTTAGCTCAAACAAAAATTAAAACTGTAAACGAGTGAACAATTTTTTTTTCCTTTTTGCACAAATTTCTTAAATGGAAGGGTGCTTTTGCCTTGCTTGGTGCAATTATTAGTCAAACTATTAAAATAATATTAGTTGAGAATCATAATCAACAATGTCGTTGTAGTATAGTGGTAAGTATTCCCGCCTGTCACGCGGGTGACCCGGGTTCGATCCCCGGCAACGGCGTCTACATTTTTTAATTTATTTTGTTTTTATTTTCACCTTCCTATTTCGGGGTCTATGTGTTAATTTCCAGGAGAAGGCTGGAAAAGAATATAACACAAACTTCCTTCAGCTTTCTGTTTTCTTAGTAGGAATCAGCATGGTTGAATTGTAACCTGGTTGGAACATTTATGAGGTTCAAAAATGATCACATAAAGTTTCTTTTTTTTTTCCTAATCTCATATTGGAAGTAATTATAATATAATCTTGTTCCATGAAAAAAGTCAAAAAAACTAAAGTGAACACAGCCCTTGAGAACCAATATGTTATATGTAGGATATAAAACTTAGTACAATATTATATTGTAGGATTGATAGTAGAAGGGCAGCCCTTTATTTGTGATAGATAGAGAGGCCAGTTATTTTTCCAAGTCAAATGAAACTTTTCTTAAAAGAACTGGAAAACCAAAAAGGAAAAAAACCAAAATACTCCAAAATTTGTAGTCCAATGTTTTCTCTTACAAAAATAACAATAACAAGAAAGAACAATCTCTCTTGGAAAATTAATGTAAGGATAATGTTCTCCTTCCCAACAACAGAAAGAAAATCAATCTCTCATGTGTATTTTCTGAAAAAAGCTAAAACTTTTGATTATTAAAAACTATGCAATTGCTTTAAGTCCATACCACCTGCTTAAACAATGAAGTAGTAATGAATATGGAGACAATAATCAACAACAACAAACCCATTATAATTCCACAAGTGGAGTTTGGGGTAGTGAGTACGCAAAGTCGCAAACTTTACCCCTACCGTGAATGTAGAGAGGCTGTTTCCAAGAAAGCCTCGGCACAAAAAAAAAGATGAAAATAAAGCAGTAGCAACACGCAGTAACGACAACAAGATAATAAGAAAACGAGGCGAAACAAACAGGCAAAAGGAACAAAATGTAGATAGTGACAATAATCAAAAGATCAAATTGTGATATACAAGTTCAAAGTATTCTCACAGATGCTGCATTAAGTAGCTTAAGAGCTATTTATTTTCCAAAATGGTGTACTTACATAAAATGCTCAAGCAAAAGTGTACTACTAGCTCATACTACAAAGTGTTTCCAAAATTTCCCTTGTGACTTTCTTTCCTTCAGCACCCTTGGCCATCATAATAAATAAATTACAAGTAGGCTAAAGTTTATATTTGAAATTTTTCTATAGTTGAAAAAAATGAATGAGATTCCTATGCCCTCCCTATCAACTAACAATATAAACAGTGTTGTGGCATCTCTAAGATTTTGGCCCCCTATTTCAGAAGGGAAAAAAAACATGGATATCACCAGAAGACAATATGATGAGAACTTCATCCTGCTGAAAATCATATTTTGACAAGCTCGAGCATGCTGCCACGTGTGTGCACCATTCATCATCTTGGTTCCTCTCAAAATTTCATGCACAAAAGTTGCATTTAAATGATCTCGAGTACACAGAACAGCCAGTATTTGGTATCAAACTCGACATACCCCACCTGGAACGGAGTATCAAATGCAACGGCTAGCTGAGTGAGTCGTTCAAGCCTATACTCGACCAATTGGAGAGAATGGTGGATTTAGTACAAAAGATGGGAATACTTGCTCAACTTTCTTGTGTACTTTCTGTTTCTTTTCCTCTCTAACTGCATTAAGCAAGCCTTTAATGTCATCTTGAACAAATACGCTCAATATGTTGGATTGCAAAGATTCTACGTTGTTCTCCTGTCCCACGACAATTGAAGTTTCCATAGAATGCAAAATTGCAACACAAATAGAGAATGCCTGTAATGCAGATAACTGAGCATGGAAATCAACTGAATACTGTCCATCCTCCTTAAGCGTCATCGTCAATGCTGGAGCTTTATCCTTTCTTCCCTGTGTGCAGTTTAGAACCCACGGGTAAGATAAGAACAATTGGGCATAGTATCTTAAAATTCGTCTAGTGAGTATAGTTAGGTAACATCGCTTTGGCTCGTAACCAATTTGATTTGCTTTCTAAAAACAAGTTTATGAGTTAATGTTGTTTCAATTCTAGAGCAAGTACAAGAGAGTAAGAGACGCATATATCCATAAAAGATGAAAGTACTAGTGAAGTCGAAATCTTTTATTTGAATGCTTGTACACTTACAAATAAATTTCCATTTAAGCAGCCAACGAAACATACAATTAAGCAGCAGGTAAGAAGATTACCTGAAGGAAGAGTTCCAATGGCCGGTGACTCTCAAGCAGAGGACGAATGTCATCAATATGAATATTTGGATTACCAAATATGTGAAGCGGACATGCCATGTCCCAGCCACCACAGTCGCAACCTCCGCCCATCCTCCATCTATCCAACAAGGGGGAAGGGCCAGGACCTTCAGTTGTTGGAAGACCATGGTGTCCGGAAGGGATCACAACATTCACCTTGGCATCAGAAGTTCCAATTCTTGGCTCAAGCGGAGAGAGATCCAGTAAGTTTGGAAGTGGCTGATCATCATCCTTTGCATCTCCACTCCTAAATTTTAAACTCTCTCTCTTTTCAAACGGCACCTCTATAGCAATTGCTGCAACCTCAACCCGTGACTGCAGTTGTGCTACTCCTAAAGGGTAAGGAATTGATGAGTCAACATGACCTCTGTCATGAGTATGATTCGGTTGAAGTTTGAGCTTTGTTTTTTCAGGTACCTCTTCGGCTCCAGATGAATTTTCATTGGACGCCTTTGGTGTATTAGTGACATCAGGGGAAGAACAACAACTATCTTGAGGAGAAACTTGCTTTCTTGAATGGGCCGTATCATACAAGACAAACTCTGTCACCATTGAGTTGTCACAGTCTCCAGCTTTTTTAATATCTGTACATAAATAACAGGAAACTTGCATCTGCCCAACCAACAAGGGTTCTCTAACGCCATCTTTCGATCCCCATCCACTGGCATTGCTCTTCCTTTTGTGGTGAAGAGAATGAAAAGTGTACACCCAATTCAAGGTATTCTCCACTTTCCACGACTTTGCGACAAAACTATCTTCAGGAGACTTTACTGAGAACTCAAAAAAGGGCAATCCATTTTTCTTATCCAATCTGAGAAAGCCATGTAAATGAGCCGGCAAACTCTGCACATTTGAATTATGGATCTCTTTCTTGATAGGCTGAGGATCACAACCCAAAGGCTCCGCTATGCTTGAGAAATCATGCAATAGAGATTTATGAAATGCTCTGCCTCTACTAACATCAACTAGCTCACTCTTAATCTCCCGGCCAGGTTCGACATTATAACTCAATGGACTTTTGAGAGACTTTGATTTACCAAATGGATCAAACATCTTTCTCATAGGGCTGAAACGGGATTTTTGGCTGCCGCTCCTAGAGCTATCACTTTCTGATCGAGCTGGCGAATGTGGTAGCGCTAATTTTGCAGACAACGATTTGGGTAAAGGAACAGATGGATCCCTCTTCGTTAGTCCGTTAACTTCACGTAGATGATCAACGACGGATTGAGACATTATGTTTGAATCCTGAGCTGACTGTCTTAGTGGAGTTTGAGCTCTTCTATTTTCTCTATCATCAGAGTTTATTAAACTTCCTGTCGAGCTATCTGATTGTACACCTCTCTCTGGAATAGAACCTTTAAAGGAGGATCTATGTTTCTCTATGAGTAAATTATCCTCGCGTGAACTACATAAAGCATCAAGAATGTCAAATGAGACTGCAGCAGCATTGCCACCAGAGAACTCAATTTTTCTTCTTTCCTCGACAACATCAGTTTTCTTGACGCGCCTAACATCTTTAGAACTTTGATAGACAGAACCCCTCTTTAAGATTTCATTTCTTTCCAAATGCAATTTCCTTGATGGAACATTTTTGCAGGACACGCTACGATACTTATGAAAGCTTATCTCAGTGAATTCATCATCTACAGATAATACTTCTTTGCTGCATTTGGGATTTCCTTTGCTTTTTCTCCTTTCACCTTTTAGACGGTGTCGTGGAGATGGAAGCACAGTTGTAGGACTTCCATCTACTATACAATACTTGTCGAATTCCAACTCCATATCTAGTCATATCAATAGATCTACAACCTATAAGAACAAAATAACAGGTCATTCACAGTAGAATTAAAAAGCTACTAACATAATGCCTTATATTTCAAAACAAACATCAAATAATACAATCAATCACATAAAGTTTTGAACTTTATAGACTAACATCTTATAGGGCAATATTTGGATGAACTAAACCAATTGGAAATATCAAAAGCTTGGATTTTTACACTTCAAGATTCCAAATATACAACAACAACAAACCTAGTAAAATACTACAAGTGGGGTCTGGGGAGGTAGTGTGTATGCAGACATTACCCTACCCAGGCTAGGTAGAGAGACTGTTTCCAAACGACCCTCGGCTCGAAAGGAAGACTAGGAAAAACAAATGTTCAGGATTCCAAATATGCATATATAAAACAAAAGGTTCAGGAATTAAGCAAACAACTAGATCTAAGAGAAGAACTCTAAACTAAGGAACTACAATGTTACCACATTTTTCACATGCAAACTTGAAAATATGGAGAGAAAAAAAAGAAAAAAAAAGAAGAAAAAAATTCATACCCATTTCTTCAAATTGAAAAAGAGATGGCTGAGCAAATAATGAACTTCAAGCAAGAACCTTAACTTT